GCGTGCAAAAGAAGAATATATAAGATCAAATAAAAAGGGGTTAAGAAGAGTGCCCGAAGGGACAACATAGCCATTGTGGAGGAGGTAGGCAGTGAAGCAAAGAAGGCTTCAGCTATTAATGGGAGACCTCACGTCTGTTGACAAGATTACTAAGCAGTTAGGTGGACGGATTGACAGTTACACCAAGAATCGGAGGCGTTGCCAACGTCGGATTCTGAGGCCCTCTTTTCGGAGGATTCATTGTTGTTTTATGAGTTTAAATCGAACAATGTTGCTGTTTCTGTTAGAGGCAGATTGCGCAAATCATTTCAGTTCTGGAAAGACATTGACGCGCCTCGCTTCATTACTGACACCATTGAATTTGGCTATAAGTTGCCACTTCTTCATCGATCTTAAAATTCCTCCACCTTTTGTTGCAAAGAACAATAAGTCAGCAATTCAAGAATCTGCCTCTGTTGAGAGTGCTGTTAGTGAGCTTTTAAGTTTGGAGTGTATTTCGGAGGTATTCATACCTCCAGCAGTGTTAAACCCATTATCCGTTTCCATTCAGAAGTCAGGGAAAAAACGCTTGTTTTTGGATCTTCGTCATGTCAATCAGTATCTCATTTAAGTCCAATTTCAGATGCGAAGACGTATCTACTGCAGGGGAACTGTTGAACGCTGGGGATTTCATGTTTTCCTTTAATTTTGAAATCTGGCTACCACCACGTAGAGAATTTTCCAGGGCATAGGCAATATTTCTCCTTTTCTTGGACTTTTTCATCCGGTCACACTAGATATTTTCATTTCGAAGTCTTGCCCTTTGGCATCAGTTCCGCGCCCTATTTATTTACAAAAATTCTAGTTAAGAAATTGAGATCAGAGGGGAAGTCGATAATTGTCTCTTTAGATGATGGCCTGGGTTCTGCTGCTGGTTATATCAAAGCTAAAATCACCAATTTGGATGTTCACTCTGATTTGTTGAAGTCCGGTTTTATTCTAGCCTCCCACGCAAACGTTCTTAGGGGTTCGTCACGCAAGATTGCGTGACAAACCCCTAAGAACGTTTGCGTGGGAGGCTAGTTTTATTCCAAACGAAGAAAAATCCATTTGGGATCCAACTCAGGTGATCGCTTGGCTTGGAACTGTTATTAACACTTCTGAATACATTATCTTCGCGACGGATAGGAGAATTCAATCCCTGACGGAAGATTTATTGTATCTTCTGGCGTCTGAGGGCTCCCTTTACCAGGTTCGCAAGCTCGCCAATGTGAGTGGTAAGATTATCTCCCTTGGGAACTGTACCGGGAGTGTAACTAGGCTTATGACCAGAAATACCTTCGCTGTTGTTAATTCTGCCTCCAGCTGAATTCCCTCGTTTCCGTAACGCCCGAATGCATAAACGAACTAAGCTTTTGGAAAGACAACGTTGCTCAAATCAATGGTGTACCTTTGTGGCCTGTAAAACGCAACCGACAAAGTTCATTTACTCTGATCAGGGGCACCCAACGGCAATTTTCGGGAAAATATCTGTTCGGAAGACGATTTGAGAACTAGAATTTTCGGAACATTTGCTGTAAAATTTCTTGCTTGCCTGCCTCTCCTAGGATTTTCGAACATCTACAAAATGGTATAATTACCCATTTTAAACGGATATTTACCCTAAAAAAGGCCACCTAGAATTTTCGGGAGCCTTTTCCTAGCTGAAATTTTCGAAAAGCTAAGTTTTGATCCCTATAATTTTCGGATCACTAGACTTTCAGCTAGGAAATCCGAACAGATGAAAAGTTTTTAGGGGAAAAAAATATGACTATATCTACCGTTTAAATACTAAAATACGTTCAACAATGCTATGTTAAGTGGTATTGAACTATATCCTCGTTGGGTGCCCCTGTCTGATGCATCCGATTCAGCCTGCGGGAGTTATATCCAATTCGTGGATAAAATCTTTCACAAAAATTGGTCCGATTTCGAGGCCTCTCAGAGCTCCACATTTCGGGAGCTTCTTGCTGTTTCACTGTCGTTACAGGCGTTTACCGTTTCCCTCGGTGCTCAAACTGTTGTCTGGTACACAGATAACCAGAACGTTGCCCGCATTGTGAACATTGGTTCTAAAGTTCCAGCCTTACGGAAGATGGCCCTTGATATCCATCGCGGTTGTCTCTTACGGGGTATGAGTATTGATATGCAATGGATCCCCAGGGACTTCATCTTCTTGCAGACGACATTAGGAAGGTGGTGGACTACGACGACTACACGATTAACGAGTCGGTTCTCTTTGCTCTTGACGAGCGTTGGGGTCCTCACACCTGCGATAGATTTGCCTGCCATTACAACGCGAAGCGTCCGGCATTCAATTCCCGGTTCTACCAGCCTGGGTCATCCGGTGTCAACGGCTTTGCTCAAGACTGGTCCAAGGCCGATAACTGGCTCTGCTTTCCTGTTTGTTTGACATTAAAAGTTATCAACCACTTGCATGCTTGCAACGCTGCTGGTACTCTGGTTGTTCCCATTTGGAAGTCAGCGCACTTTTGGCCAAGCCTTTGTTTCGATGGCTTACATTGGACCGGTTTCGTCCATGATTGGATTATTCTTCCCAATCTGCCGAACTTGTTTGTCATACATACATACATACTTATTCAAACTCATAATAACTACATGAATTTGAAAGGGAGAGTCTAGAGGTTAACCCAATGAATAAAACTCTCCTAAAAACAACAAACAAACAATAAAAATTACAAAAAGGGAACCGGAGTAGTTCAGTGAACGCGGGAGTGAACCGGAGTAGGTCAGTGAAACAGCAAGTAGTAGAGTAGTTCACACGCAGTTATATGATTTTCTGGCTTCAGAGGCAAAGCCAAGAATTCAATTTTTGGTCGAGGTCCGCTCGCGTTCTCGCTCTGCTTATTGACTTTAGTATTCCTCGAAGGCAACGACGCTTTTCGTGTTCCCATAATCTAGAACAGGTTGCCGTTGGTTATAAGCTTAACATTAACTTGATCAGTTACCTGCACGTCTGTTAAAGGACTCAGCTGAAATAATTGCCAAACCGTTGACTACTCTTATTAATGCTTCTTTGATTTATGGTTACGTCCCCTCTGAATGGAAATGGACACGTGTAAATCCTTTGTTCAAGAATGGCAAATCAAAATGACATGGATAATTATCGACCGATATCTGTACTACCGACCATATCCAAGGTTCTGGAAAGAGTAGTTCACACGCAGTTATATGATTTTCTGGCTAGAGAAAAGTTATTGAGTCCCTACCAATGTGGCTTCCGCAAGGGCCACTCTACTGATTTGGCTGTCTTATCATTCACTGACAACATAAGGCGCAGTATGGATCAGGGTCTACTAACTGGTGCAGTTTTCATCGATTTGCGGATAGCGTTCGACACAGTGGACCATGACCTGCTACTGGAGAAACTCACGATGGGATATGGAGTCACTGGAAAAGAGCTTGGATGGTTTAGGGATTACCCAACCGATAGACGACAAGTGGTGACAGTCCAAAGTACTCTGTCAGACCCTTGTGATGTTGCTTTTGGTGTGCCACAAGGTTCAATCCTTGGACCATTGTTGTTTGTGCTGTTCATCAATGATTTACCTACTGCTATCAGCAATGTAATATATTATTATACGCTGATGATGCTGTTGTTTTTGCAGCCCACAAGGACATTAAAATCTTGCAGGAAACTTTGAATGCCGAACTAGATGAAGTGAATAAATGGACTCTCAGTAATTTTCTTTTTATCAACAAAAGAAAAACAGAATTTGTAATTTTTGGAACTGATGCTAGGCTTTCTAAAGCTACTGACACAGTAGTTATCAAAATAGGTGATTATGAAATTAATAGAGTTTATGATTTTAAGTATTTAGGCATCGTTCTTGACGATAGTCTTACGTGGAAAGACCATGTTCGTTATGTTATTTCTAAGGTTGGTAAAAGAGTTGGTGTCTTAGGGCGCCTTAGAAGGAATATCACTATACATGCAGCTTTCGAGATGTATAATTCATTAATTTTGCCCATTTTTGATTATTGCGATGTTGTTTCGTCCAGCTGCAATAAAGCAGATATAGAAAGTCTTGAATCTTTGCAAAGGCGTGCCTCGAAAATTATAGTTAAATCTAAATGTGGTACAACATCCACCGACTATCTTAAATTTCAGAGTTGAGAAGATCGCCGTTAACGCTCATATTTTAGGTTTAGTGAAGAGGTGTTTAAATAATAATGTACCACAGTCTTTAAAGAATTATTTTAAGTTGAATAAGGAAGTTATTTCAAGAGAAACAAGAAGAAGCAATTTTATATACTTACCTGCAGTAAGAACTGAGACCGCCAAGAAACGTTTTTATTATAATGGCTCAGTTGTGTATAATAATTATTTAGTAAATAAGAATTAGTTTTAATTGTTAAACTGTACTATTATTACCTTATAGTTACTTAGTTTCTTATTATTTATTTTGAACTTTTTTATTAGTCTTAATTTAGGGCTCCTGTTGATAACAGATATACTTTTAAGTATTCTGAAGGGATTACCCTAGTTAAATAAAGGTCTACTACTAACTGTTATTGACGTTGCTTTGCATTCTTAGCTGGAGGTCGCTCAAGTTGGTTTCATGAGCACGGCCTAGAGGCCCCTTAAACACGCACTTGAGGGGTGTTTTCTTTTTGTCCTCATTCATTTTCAGTTGAGAATTGTCGAATTTTGTTTTAAGACCACGGACTGGGGGCCTCTTGAGAATCACCCCTTCAGTGGTTTGCTTGCAAGTCTTTCATTTTCAGTAGAAAACTGTTGAATTTTGCTTTAAGTGAATGGTCTGGAGGCCCTTGAGACACAACCTGGAAGGGTATGCCCTTTGAAGGCAGTAGGTTTCGTTATTGCTTATATCATGCCTAAAATTAGTTTTACCTATTTGTTTTTCTAGTGTCATATCGGCTATTGATGCTTTAATAGGTTTGCCCCAAGTAACCATGTATAATGGTTAGGAAGCCTCGCGAGGTTTGTATATTATATAAATTTTGGTTTTTCTTGGTATCTGTTCTTGTATCCGTTCTATTGTCTCTCGTCTTCTTTCACTACTGTGAAGTGTTTCTGCTTTATTCTTAGACATCTCTGATACAGATTTCTGATCTACGCTCCGGCCAGTCTCACGTGAAGTTGCTCTATTGTTGGGGAAATTGAAATCTACAGCTCAGGCTTCCAGGGCCTCCGGGGCCTCATCAAATTACGTCAGGGCCTTCAACAGATGGAGATCTTTTGCTGCAAACGTCCTGCGAATCGCGGCATTCCCTGTGGAGCCCATTGACTGCGCGTTGCTCCTCCAGTATTTATTGGATTCTACGAATTCAGTTTCTTCAATAAATTCTGCCTTCTAGGCGTTCAAGTGGTTGCGTGATCTGGCAGGTGTCTCCTCTCCAACAAGTCACCCCACAGTAGTAGCGGTCAAAGAGGGCGCGGTTCGTCTAGCCTCCTCTCCTGTAAAACGTCGAAAGGAACCTCTCGAGGCAGAGAATCTCAGAAGATTAGCGGAAAAAACTGATACCAATGATCTTTTGCAGCCCCACAATCTAGTAATGTTTTTTTAGCCTTTTCGGGCTTTCTTAGATTTTTGGAGTTGTCGCTTATCCGCCCAAAAGACATTATGTTTGGCGAACGATTTATTTCCGTTTTTATTGAAAAGAGTAAGGCTGATCAGCTGAGGGAAGGCCAGTCAGTTGTAATCGCCGAGTCGCGCTCCAGTACGTGTCCTGTTGCCAATTGTTAATATTATATCTTATGTCAGCTCAGCTTTTGTTCGATTCAGACCAGTACCTGTTTAGACCTATATCTGCCTCCCGTAATTGCAAACATATAGAGTCTCCGTTAACAAGCCCATTAGCTATTCAACCTACAGGGAGTCGTTCAAGACGTCTTTTCAAGGCATCGTAGCGGGCATTTCTAAGTTCAGTACTCACTCTGCCACTTCAGCAGCAAACTCTGTTATTTCCGAGAGAAATCTCCAACGTCACGGCCGCTGGGCCTCAATCTCTGCCAAGAACACTTACATAAAGGACTCTTTACCTAGTAGATTAGAGGTTTCAAAATCATTGTCACCTGAGCTCAAGCCCTTTCTTTTTATCTCTACGGTGGCTTGGCTGGTCAACGCGCCCATATATTATCATTTTGTGTGCTCGGTTGAGCATCGGAGGCAAAATATGTAATTTGTGATAGTCCTATTAGCAAAAAATTACTCTTTTGCCGACAAGAATCAGAGGGCTTGGGGCGAGTGCTAAGCGCTGATAGGGTTTTGGGATTGTAGTTTGTACTGTGTGGCCGTTAGGTGGGTGAGACATTCTACGGCCAGTCTTCGCCGCGTTAAGTTTTCTGTCAGTACTCCATCATATTGGCGTACGGTTCCAGGCAAAATTTCAGGAATTCACACACATTTGTATGGCCCTTTACCGTGTTAAGTATTGCAGCCTCTTTCTCAAATCTTCGTTTATCCTCGGCCGACTCTCCTTTCATTTTCTATACGATGACATTTTGCTCTTCTTTTGCGTAGCTCACCAGACACACAGAGCCAAACGTCCCACTTCCAAGCTGTTCTTTTATACTTATATCTCTTCATTCGAAACGCGGAAAATTAACAGGAGGTTTTCGTTTTTTTCCCGAGACACGGTAGCTTGAGAGTAGCTGCCATCTTGATGAAGAAATTCAACAGACCATTTCCGTCTCCTGTAGCAAAATAAGTGACCGTCACGTACGTTTAGCGCAATACAATTTTACTCCGGGGCATCTAGTTTTGAAGCCGGGTTTAGAAAAGAAAAAATAAGGTTTTGTTCTTTTTGCTACGAATTGTTCCTTTTTACTCACATGTTGCGTGACAGAAAGCAGGCGATCCGAAAATAAAACTATTATTATTATTATTATTGTTCTTCTTCTTCTTCTTGTTCTTCTTATTCTTCTTACTATTATTATTCAACTGGCTGCTTAAAGATTCTAACCGTTGGAAATCAAAATATAGGTTTCGATTATTGAACTGGTTGATAAAACAAAGGCCTGGCTTTAAAGATTCGATGAAAAAATTTTATGAAATGGTTTAAACAAATTTCTTCGCGGCCAAAACTTTTTAAATGGTTTATACATGTAAACCACTTATGTAGCTGAAAGGTCAAACAGGGGTTGTTACGCTCGCTAAACCGTCGGAATAAAACAGCCTAAAAATAAATGAACAGAATTTTTAAACGTAAATTAGTTTTTGTAACAGTCTGTTCACCGTTCAGTTTTATCCGATTTGCAAACGCGGAAAAAATCTAAAAAAAAAGACGTCCGCATGAGCCTATCGTGAGTCCGCGTTTTACAAGTCCGCGTTTCACAAGTCTGCCTTTCACAAGTCCTCGTTTTACAAGTCCAGTCCAGTCCTCGAAATACAGTATGCCCAATCGATAAACCTTTTCAACATAAACTGGCCCAGGAAGTGTGTTGGTCTAAGCGGTTTCTTTCTCATGTGATTCGGAAGCTTCAACAAAGGATAACCTTGAAAAAAACTTTGTCGCCCTGGAAAAGTGTCTTAACGTTTAGTCCTCTAGAGACTTAACACTCTTTGGAAAAATAACCATTATCAAAAGTTTAGCTCTTTCAAAAATAATTTTCATTTCCTTTGTACTCAGCGTTCCCACTGGTTTTGTCAATCAAGTGGACAAATCTGTATGCAACTTTATATGGAACCACAAATCACCCAAAATCAAGCACTCAACAATGATTGGAATGATAAAAGACGGCGGACTCAGCATGCCTGATTTCGATATAATAGATAAATGTTTGAAGGCAGGGTGGGTGAAACGTCTTTTAGACCCTCGAGCGCAATCTTGGAAGACAATACCGTTTAGTCTGTTAGACGGTGTGGGTGGCGCGCTGTTATTCACCCAAATATTTCCCCGATTCTGATTAGCTAAAAGCACACGCATAATTCACCCTAACCAGTTACTGATGACCAAATTTGGACGTCAAAAATGCAGGGTTCTTGCAGGTTAATGCACCGTTAACCGAGAAGACCTGGGGACGAGGTTGAGTTGGTTTGGTTGTGAAAACAAAAAATGGCGGACACTAGGCGAAATTATAGCTAAAAACATGGCAAGAACAGCTAGATCACAACTCGAAGGGCGACATCTGCTATTTGGAGAATATTTGCGGAGCTGAACAACCCAAAACGAGCACTTTCGAAGGTGAACTTAACATCGATGGAGGTAAGCATGTTTTGGCTTTGTTTTCAGACTAGGAATTATTTTGAGTGAACAATAACACAATTATTGAATTCGGCTTTCGTATCATATGAAGAATGATGGAGATCTAACACCCTCCTCGATCTCCATAATTCATAAGATACTTAGGCTCATTCATTAATTGTTAATTATTCGTTAAGAACTTTGCCCGAGCTCCCCCTCCTCCCGCTTTCTTACAGAGATGTTCTCAGTCCTTGGGAGAGCATATCCATGCACACTGCAAGGACAAAGAACGAAATCGAAAATGAGATCTTGTGAAATAATCATGAAGTCACTATCGGTGGCAAATCTGTTTTTTATAAGCAATGGTATGATGCTGGCGTAAAGACCTTGCCAGAGATCCTAGGCAAGGAAGGAAAGTTCTTGGCGTTTACAGCAATCAAGAAAAAGTACAAAATTAACACAAACTTTCTGTGCTATATTGACTTGTGTAACGCAATACCAAAGCATTGGAGGAAAGTCTTCAGAAGTGATAACGAAAATGACTCGGTAGTTTCGGATGAGTCAGTTCAGCCATTTAAGAACTTACCTCCCACTTGGCGGCAAGCACGCGCGTTCTATGTATCTAAATCTTTCCAAACACTTATACACTCTTTTTTTTTTTATAAGAATGTTGTTTTCCCGGGTCAGGCTGAATATTCTTATTTTTCCGCCGATTTTAGGCTGTAAATATTCTTGTATTATTCTTAATAATAGCTTATGACATTTCCGAATTAGAATATATTAAGGTATCAATTATAGTTTTGTTAAATATAGTTAGCTAGTTTTGCCTTTTAAAGAAAGCAATAAATTGAAAACGTACATTTGTATTGCAGATTTTCACCACACGAAATTATATCCTTTTCAAAATCTCAGCCTGGAGTTTATTCTTAAAGTATTCTTAAGATTTCGCAAATTTCAGCCTCGATATTCTTATAAAATATATTCTTATAGAAAAAAAAGAGTGGTGTATCAGAAGTTCGTATTGTTGAGGCTGGCTTCACAGATCAGACAATTGCGGCGTTATACGTTCTTCCATTCAAGCTCACAAAAAACAAATAAAGCTTTCTATGTTTCAGTTTAAAATAAACCATCACATCCTGTACACTCGCGAAAAACTTTTCAAGGCCAAAATTACTGACAGTGACTCGTGTTATGTGTGTGAATCGAAGCAGACCGTAGAGCATCTGTTTGTAGAATGCCAGCATGTCCACTCCTTTTGGAACCTTTGTACCTCTTGGTGGAACGATCATAACTTGCGCTTGGTGTCCTTGACCAATGACGATAAGATTTACGCATATCTCCCTGAGAATCGATCCCTCCATACAGTGTCCATACGTTAAATCTTTGCCTGATAGTCGCTCGTTTTTATATCTAAACTGCAGCCAAAGAAAGCGAGCCATGTAGTTTCTTAGCCTTTTTAAAAAGCTTTTCTGAAATACAAATTATCTATAGAGCCTTCAAGTGTCCGTGAATCCCTCTGCCTTTAGCCGCAAACAAGCTTGACTTATTTAGTCATTTCTGTTATTTGGTTATTTTTTATTTTACCTAATTATCTAACTTTTTCATTTTTTGTAATTAATAATTTCAACAGCCTGAAAACCAGTTGTATCTTGTCTGTTCCCTTTATTCTAGTTTTGTAACGTCGTTCTTTTTTTGTTAATATTATATATTGTATTGTACTTATCAATAAACTTCAATATAAAAAAAAAATCATTACGTTTACGGTGGACGTTTATTACATTTATGGTTAGTGTTATGTTTATGGTCGTTATTAAATTTATGGGTGTGATACAATGGGTGGGGTTGATATTGAAAACTGTGTGTTTAACTCCGCTGTGCCGTAATTGCAGGTCTTCGAAGTTCGTGAAATGCTCGAATAATAGCCGAACAACTGGTTCACTGCACTTTCTAACTGAGAATACGGCTTTAATAGGACAAAAAATTGAACGTTGCCCGCTTCAGCATATCACATGCTTTGCTAAAATTCTTTGTTCGGTCCATAGACATTTTGTATAAACACACACGTTTCCCGGAATTAGAGCGATGAAACTCTGATGTAACAACCTTTACGTTAACCTTGTATCAATTAAGCTTTGAGGATGTACCAAGGTTACTTATATTTTACTCAAAGTAAAATACCGTCTTAATAATTTTTAATGAAAATACTTTAAAGAAGGTCACATTTGTCAAATACTTAACCTTCTCTGTACATAGATAGAGACCTATTTTACAATTGCATTCCACCTTCAAGGCGCGAACACTAAAATGACCTGTCGCAAGATTATTTAGCCTTAAGCCTGGAAGAAATCCTCAATCTTGCCAATGCAGAAAAGGTCATTAAGCAGACCCCAAAACTTAAGACGAGGAGAAAGACAATACTTGGCTTGACATCTATCATATCATGGGTCTACTTAAGGATCTACTCGCACAAGCCTGGAAAACCGGTAAAGATTTGAAGTGTTTGGTTCCACTGCTGAGAAGGTAATATCCGTTCTGAATTTAGCCATGTACTTCAACTCTGTTTATCAGCTAATGTTTGTGGAGCACAGATTTCCGCAACAAAAGTTTACCCATGGGCGAATGTGAACAACGCGAGCCAGTAATGTCTACTGACCACGTTAGTAGCCTAGCGCTGGGGATGGATCATCAGTACTATGAAGGACATGTGTACATTTGGTCTGAAGCTTTTGAACTGCTGATTTGGTGATGTTTCTGCAGTAAAGTATCGTCAGTGAAGACAGCCTCTTACATCCCTTCCTCAAATACCTCAGTGATTTGTCTCTAAAAGAGAATGTAAATGGAGAGAATTAAAGCGGTGTTACGGTAAGCATAGCCTGCGAAAACAGCCGTTTCTCCTCGCTCTTCGCCGCTGAAGACGGTTCCCAGCGGCGAAACGGCTGTTCTCGCAGGCTACGGTAAGCAACGTTACGGGACAAAGACTGCGGCAGCAAGGGAGAAAAATTCGATGTTACTAGGCAAACTGTCAGCCAGGAAATAACTGAATATTGTACTCACGTGATGTGAACGCAAGCGGACAGGTCTAATGCTTCAATGTTATGGCATACTCCTGATAAATACTGAAGGCTTGAATCTGTCAGCTATATGGGAAAATATAAGCATATATAAAAATATATATATATATATATTTTAAATGTTACATTCAATTAATTATTGTATGTGTGTATTTTTGAAATTTATTTGTATATATTTCTTTTAGTTTTAGAGGGCCATGTGTTAGAAAACTCTTAAATGGGTTAATCATGTATATCTACCCTCTCAAAATAAAGAACATTGTATTGTATTGTATTGTATTGTAAAGAGAAAGTGGAATTACGCTGTCTTTCTTGTAAGCACAATGATAGCCTGTGCTACAAGCCTAATGAAAATAAGACGCGCGCGATCTGGAGAAGGGAGTGTTGGCCCCTCTCTCCCCAGCCCCACTCGTTTTTCCCATCACTTTATACTGAATATACTTTTTTTACTGAATACACTTTATACTGCACGACTATCTTGGAGCCTGGAACAGGCTACCGCAATGAAAAATGAATAAGTTTGACATCGCTAAAGACTGCTTTAAACAACTCGGCAAATTAATTAAGTAAAATAGGCTTCGCTTTGAGGCTTTGAGACAATAAGGGATTCGAGAGAGACTTCAATAATTCGGCAGGTTGATAGTTAAATGCCCTGACCCAGCCTTGTATTTAAGTGTTTTTCACCTTTTTTATCTTCATTTTCGTCCAATTGACAGTTTCAACAGATCTAGATCGATTTTTATTAAATTGGGAGGATAAAATCGATCAGCCACCCAGTGTCAACTTTCAAACACAAGAACTAAAGAGTTTCCCTGACTTTTCATAAAATTCCCGGACTTTTCGTTGTCCTTGAACAAGTGTTGTTTTTCTCGCACGGTGGCAGCCGTATGTAATACTTATAATTAACCTTACTTTAAAAACAGCCAAAGAAAAAAAATACACTGTCTTAACTTACCTTGCTACATCCTGCAAGATTCAGAGTTCGAAGCAAACGACAGCAAAACGCAAGGTTTTTAATGGCATTGTCAGTTAATCCCTGAGAAAAAGGAAGGAAACAAAATCCTACATTAAGGGAAACTAAGAATGTACAATTCGGTATTTCCAGTGGCCAAGATGCGGCAAAGCTTTGGAGTATTGTTCTTAACTTGCACATAATAACGTGTGATACACTAGGAACAAAAAATAACAACAACAAATAGAACAATCAACTTAACGCGAGTAGTGACCACTAACCTTGCAATGAGACACGTTAAAGTTCTCGAGTTGTCTACACTGTTGACACATTTTCTGTGACAAAAATTATTATTATTATTTATTTGCGATTTAATAATCTAAAGAGTGTTTAAATTTAAGGTGCAGTGTAAAAATCAAAAGCATGCGTAAAATATTAACTTCTCTTTTCCTCCCAAAAATCTGATTTTGCAGATTTTGAAGACTTAACAGGAAGTCAATGTATATTCACACGGCTGATCACAATAAACTAGTTCAGGAGGTTAAAGTTTCGCCAGTATAGTAACCTTTCAACCTCGTTAAAGATGATAGCCTGAAAAGGTAAACAAAGCAGGCTGCATGAAAATAAAGCCATTCAAATCGTATAGCATTGGTAAACTGGGAAAACTTGAGTATAGTATTGACAAAAAAAATGCGACATCTTTCCAAAGGCAAACAAAGTATGCAAACCATATACATTCAACATTAATCATAAATGAACCCCTTGCTAGTAAAAGCATATAGGGGGAACCTAACAGCACTTGGCGCTCCCACACACTCATATCCCCCAAACACATGTACTGTCCTAACAAATTACAATTACTAAAACACAAACATATGAAGTAAACATTACTATCATCTTATCATAGGCGTACCAATCACGGCGTATACTAAAATCCTGGTACAAAAGTGGAGGCCCAGAACAGGATTTTAGCGCTGTTTCGCATACGGACTCAAACTAGACTTTAGTTTCGTCTGTTGTGCAGGCTAACCACCGTATTTACTTTGCGTCCATCGACAAGGTACTGTCCGAGCGTGAGCTCAGGTTTAGCGGAAATGATCAGTAAATACTCTGTGCTTTGGGAAACATCTGTCACAGTGATACACTTGGTTAAGAAAGCTTCTCCCGCGTTGCTAAATTTTACAAAATCGACAGCGAGATTCTCGAAGTCGAGTTTTCGTCGTGTACGCGGATTAAGCTACATGACTGTTCCAGAAATGTTGGAGACAATGCACGAGAATGATCTATTTGATATGTTTCCGGTGTCTGCTAATGTGGTACATATCCTTGGAGTGACACCTGCTACATTGTGTTCTGCAAAACGATCATTCAGTGCGTTGCGCAGATTGAAAACTTACCTCCGCAGCACCATGGGGCAACAACGTTTTGAACTCCAGGATTGTCCAAGAGTCTTGGTTTGCCGCTCTCGCGTTCTTCTCTGCTCTCTTACCTAAGCTCAATTAGACTGCAAAACAGTCCGTTTTCCAGGAGAGTTTCGCGAGAAGCGCGTACGGTTGAGTAAGGAATAAACATGTGCTTATAATCAGTGACGCACCTGTAAGCCCAGGTCAGTAATATTGGGACACTCAGCAAGTGTGAGGTCACGAAACCTTGGGTTATTACCCAGAGCTGCAATTCCTTGGTCCTGGATATTACACCCTGACAAATCTAGTGACGTCAGGGAGGGGAGGGTACCCAGCAGTTCAACACCAGCATCAGTCACGTGTTCACAATAGCACAAGCTAGCATACACGAGATTGTGACACCTGAAAAGGAACAAATTAACAGAGTAAGTCACAAGAATGTGGTAAAATGATTGAATAGTTGACTGTGACCGATGAGTGCAAACGGCCTATTTCGAGCACTCGTGGAGATCGGAAAAAACAAACAAACAAACAAAAACAATGACAACATAAAAATAAACGAACACAAAAAAGTCAAAGTACAAGGAAGAAGACTGTGTCAGTTCGTCGTGACTATCCCTACCGAGTTTGAGTGGCGCGGTAAAGAACAGGCTAAATTGCAACTGACGATAAATCGTACAGAGCAGAGTATCAAATGGGTCGCACGTCGTTTGGAAGTAGGTAGGATGAGGTGTTTACCGTACGCATGAGATAAACAATTGCAGCCTCGTTCTCAGGGTTCCCTCCTTTTCTGAAGGCAAGAGAGAAAACCCTGAGAACCAGGTTGAAACAAGAGCGATGAATGTTTAATGGCTCGATTAAAAATTCAAAATAATATTTCGTATGACTATAACTCTGCATTTACGTCATTGTCATGACTTAGAGCAGGCAACTAGTTTAAGAAATTGAATTAAGCTTTTATTAACCCTTTACTTAACAGTTATGCTACTTCTTATTGCCCGAACCATGGATACTATCCATGACCAAACTACACAGGCTCATGAACTCAGCTGTTTAACCAGCTTACCTTTGCGCTATTCTCAGTAAAGTAACGTCACTGACTCGCACACAGTTGGTTAGATTAAGTTCTTTTATTTTGGAGCCTGAAGGTCCTTCAACAATCTGCCTCACCCCCGCGTCTTGTATTCTTTGAATAAAATAATAAGAAGCGGTTCAGTTTTAAAGAGGTGTTGGCATTTTTTCTTTTTTTTTACAATTCTGAGAAGTTATAACAAAACACCCTAACATTACTGATACTTCATAATGTGTGAAACTATCATACTCCGTTACTATACGATATCTTTCATCTTACCTAACACAGTCAGCAACATTGACGACATTAAGGTGTTTTGAGGCAGCTAGAGCCTTTAGGGCAAGATCAGTAATTCTGGGACAATCCACAAGGTAGACGTGATCGAGCATGGCACAGCTCTTAGCCAAAACTTTAACTGACGCATCGGTTAGACGATTGTTTCCTTGAAAACAGAAACAAACTGATTGCACTGTGAAGTGTCTATTAATTTCTATACTCATTTAGACATTGAGACGGCGTGATCATAACAAATTTTACTCATGATGAATTAATCGAACAATCGATCGATTAATCAAGAATTTATTTCAGTCTCTAACCCAAGCTGCCATCAGTCCTGCTAATGGGGTATACTACGCTAACACACATGCAATACATAGGTATAATTTAATAAAAGCAATAATCCACTTTGTGGATGTACTACCTCCAAATCATTATTATTATTATTATTATTATTACTATTATTATTATTATTTTTATCATTATTATTAATTATGTTTTTTCTTGGAATGTTAATTATTTTAAATTTCAACAAAACTGAGAATTTTAGGATGTGCATATGTTCACTCTTACAATAGTTACAGAGACTTTCAAAAAAGTCCTTCGTCTGAATTAATATGGCAACTCTTCGTAACCTAGAAAGCTCGCTTAAAAACTCCTAACAAAAAAGTTTGCTCCTCTCGCCTCAACTCGTGAGGTCGACTTGGTTACACAGTGACAGGACTTGCCGCCTACACTTTGACTTTTTTGATGCACGAGGCACCCATGGGTCATCAAAAAGGAACGTTTAGAAAGTCCACTAAGTGACATCCTTAAACGGAAACAAAATATATTATAAACTGGCTGTGATAGCCTGGTAACTAGCAGAGGGAAGGAGAAAACTGTTAAAGTGGGCCTCCTTTGCACTTTGCGTTTCGGATGTGACTAACCTTCCACTCTAACCTTGTGTAATCTTCTACATGATGCAAGACACTTAAAGGCAGCGTCTGATAAAAAAGGCGAGTTTAAAATTGATACATTCTTTAAAGTGCGACATTCAGATGTCAAGGCCTGTACAAATAGAAAAAGACAATAAAAAGGCTGAGCTTGGAGGCTGAGCCAGGCAAAGGTCGTAAGAGACCGATGGAAAAGTCATGCGATCGTGTTACAAGACACGAAAGAATTGTCCTTTCATCCTCTCTTGTACAAGCCCACTTTTCCCGCTACCGACTACTAACTACACGCCACCGAAAACCGCAAATACAGTAATGACCACGGTTGCCTCACCAAAAATGAAAACAGTAGTAGCAGATAATGAGGAGTTTCTCAGTTTTTTCACTTTTTGCTTCGTTTGGGGGCAATTATTTTTATCGAGCATAAATAAAGTAATTCACCAGACAAGTGACACGATCGTAAGACGCTTCCATCAATTACGTTTGTTCAAACACACCCTGCATCGACATAACCTCATATTTATTAGTCCTACAAAAGAAATATAAGGCCATTGAGTCAGTAAATCCGCTAAGTTTAATTGCAAGATGCTGGTCACATTAGAGGACTAGAAGGTGCATCATAAATACATTGAAGAACAAATACCTTGAGCAACGTAACTATGAGGAGCCATAAGATCGACTCAAACAGCAAAATCCAGAACGAATCTGATATTTCAGTTCGCAAAAAAAAACCTAACTGAGAATTGTTTTCAAAATTTCAAAATTTGACCACTGACACAACTTCTTAAGCCGTCATTTTAGCCCCTCAACTGCGACATCCTTAGAGGCCAGTTTTGGCTTTTTTTAATTTAAAAACTAATATATAGATGTAGCCAGGGCTAAAAGCAAAGCTCTCGATAATATTTATTGTCTGTTCAAACAAAATATAAAATCGTGTAATGCTAAGCGCGAAGGCAACGCCGGAGAACGGTAAAAAAACAATAACAGGTCTAATTAGCAAAAAAAGCAACTTTGTAGGTGCAGCACACTTTTTTTGTACATTTCTTTGCCGTTGTTTTTCACGACTACAACGTGAAGCTTCCAGAAACTTCTTAGTTAGACGCTTTATGAAGGAAATGTCGTACGCGTTCTCGTTCACTATTTTTTCACTGCCGCTCATTTTCACCTTGCATTTGTGGCCTCTAGCATTTCTCACTTTGTCACCGCCGCTACAAATTTTCATGTTGTTCTTCCAATAAAAAAAAGTCTCCTTTGTTTTTTTATCTCTTTTTTCTCGTTGAGCTTCGGTGGCCTGCAGCCTAATTTCTCTTTTTCTCTGTCTTTCTCCTGCTCTATATTCCAAATTTGTGGACAAGACAATTAATCTAAGCTTAATACTTAAGACAACACGGATACAGAAACAATTTCCGCTTTCTGTTTTCGTCTTTATTGACTATTTAGTTGTCTCTGCTTTACAAGACGCCGGTGGCTACGCGATTTCCCGCCAAAATAGCGGACGGACGGTCATGTGATTACCAAATTTTCTCGGATGGGTAGATTACTTCATTTTCTTACCCAGGGTGCTCCGCTACTATCAATTAAACGGTGAGGCCTACTGAGAAACCACTTCATACCTGAATACATTCATCTCGAAGACCCGGCAACTCATTAAGAATAATTGTTGCTAAACAGGAACAACCCATAGATATGAATTTATAACCATCTTGTGTAATCTGAAGACAGAGGGAGATAATGAGAAATCACTTGTATTAACATCACCGCATCAGGAGCAACAGAACTGTAAAACCTTAAAATACGGGAGCAAGCGTGACCCATGCATGCATGCATGGTTAAATTTGTAAAAATAAAAACTATTACTCATATGTTGAATTTCTGTGAGTAACATGGTACGTACTGCGAACGTGTTCCAGATCAGGACACGTGTCAAGTGACTGGTTATAGAAGGAAAACTAGAAAACCGTCACCCAAAAAGTTGGGCGCGATCGCCTACTAAGTGCGGTGGTCGTTCACAATAGGTTACAACTATAGGGCTTTGACTGGGAAAATTTTGGTATCTTGGAAAGGTGGTCGCTTTTGGGAGGTGGTCGCCTTGGATAGGTCGTTCTACATAACATGGAGTTTGGATTGTACGATCCAGCGTAACAAGATATTGATAACAGCTTGACCAAGCCGTTTCATTACCTGTTCACATCCAGACAAGTCCAGGTGTACTATTTTATGACATCCTTTTCCATTAGCCATGTAACTAAGGCCTTTGTTGGTGAACTTTGTACAGTAAGCTAAGCTCAGGTATAACAGGTTTGTACAGTACCTAAAAACAACTCAAGCTACGTCAGTTTAACTGCAAAAAAATATACCTACATCTTGTTCACATTACCAATAAACAAGTCCTGCCTGACACTTAATATAACATCAAAAAGAGAAGCAAGACGGATATAGTTTTGTGAAAGGTTTGAACCCGGGAGTCATTTCAAAAGTAGGTTGAGTTTGATCGTCCGGGTGAACGTAGTCCTGAATAGGACTGTTGTTGTTGACAGTGACTGACGTTTCGACAACCTGTGCGGTAGTCATCTTCAGAGTCAAAGTGAGTTGTATCACGTCAGTTGATGGTATAATACCCTGGTTATTGATTAATCAATAACCAGATGGTATTATACTCTGGTTATTGATTAATCAATAACCAGAGTGTAATACCATCAACTGACGTGATACCAACTCACTTTGACTCTGAAGATGACTACCGCACAGGTTGTCGCAACATCAGTCACTGTCAACAACAACAGTCATATTCAGGACTACGTGCACCCGGACGATCAAACTCAATCTACTTTCGGATATAGTTTTGTTTTTGCTGTTGTCATCATCAAACGCGTGAAAGAGTAAGCTCAGAAATGAAGTATCTCAATAATGAAACCAGTTCCAAGTCATAAATACTCCTTATTCTTCGAAGATTTGAAAGAATACCAAAGTTCGACCTTTTACGTCCAAGAACATACATCAACACCTCAAAAGCTTTCAGTAGAAAGATCACAATTGGCGAAAGCCGAATACAGTACACGCATGTCAGGGGCACCCAACGAGAATATAGTTCAAAACTACTTAAACATAGCATTGTTAAAAGTATTTTAGTATTTAAACGGTAGATATAGGCACATTTTTATCCCCTAAAGATTTTTCATCTGTTCGGATTTCCTAGCTGAAAGTCTCGAGATCCGAAAATCATAGGGATCAAAACTTACCTTTTCGAAAATTTCATCCAGTAAAAAGGCTTCCTAAAATTCTAGTTGAGCTTTTTAAGGTAAAAATCCGTTAAAAATGGGCAAATACACCAATTTTTAGATGTTCAAAAATCCTAGGAGAGGTAGGCAAGCAAGAAATTTTACCAAAAATGTTCCGAAAAATCTAGATCTCAAATCGTCTTCCGAACAGATATTTTCCGAAAATTGACGTTGGGTGCCCCTGACATGTATTACAAAGAAAGATGCTGTAAGAAAAAGTTTAAAATAAATGCTCTGTTCTTTCACCTTCCAAGATATCTGAGAGAGGCATCAGAGATCGGCGTGTTTGCCAAGTTAAGGTACAGCAAAGCAGAACAGCCCATGGCAATATTCTTGATGGCTTCATCCTAACAAAAACACCGTTTTCAGATGAAACAATACCTTTCTTGCTTGATATAAGCAAAATATGGTGTAGTAACAATTAAACTGATCTATAATTAGAAATGTTATCAGTAAAAAAGCTAACTTACCGTTAACCCAGAGCATTCAGATAAGTTCAAGTCTTGAAGATTTCTGCATTGTGCTGAAAAATGCGATCCAGATAAAAAAAATTATGTGACGGACATTCGACAGATTGAATTGAATATTGCTTTGTCTGTCAAATGTTTTTACCTACTGTTTACCACTTAATAACAATCCCTTTAACATCTTTCAGTGATCATTTTTTCCCAGATTTTTCCATTTCTGATTGCGCTCATATCCCCCGTCCAGTTCTTCATAACTGCCTACAGTCGACCAAATTTGAAGCAGTCTGCCGATAACAGTACAACCGACGTCAAGTCTTGCAACGGTAATCGACAGAACGCGTGATAGCTCTGCTGTTTTGATAGAGATATACTTGCTTTCTTTAACTGACAGCAGCTTCTGGTCATCCAGAGTTGATTGGCACTATTGCAACGATTAAAACGTCTTTCAGAAATACAAATGTTTAGCAAATCGTATAATCAAAAGAATTATGGAGATCTTCTGCCTGGGAGGATAACACCCTTCGAGATCTGCATAATTCTTGCGATCACACGCACTGGAATCGAATCCAATCATTGTTTTATTAGTTATTCAAAGCAATTATTACTTCGGCGGAGCGCGAAGTAAAGGATTCGCGACGCTCAGGAATGTATCAAAGTTGACTTTTTTGACAAGATTGGGCACGCAAAGTCTGTAGGTTTTCGGTTTTATTCGGCTGTTTGACGAAGTGAGAGCCGAATTAGTTCGAGATATCTCGAGATCACTTCGATTTCTTTGACTTATTCTCAAACTTTTTCGAGGAAGCAAGAATTATTTGGCTTTCCCGGGGTTTGAACCGACTCACCTGTGTGACCCGTCAGATCAAAGGAGACTCTAAGTTGAGGGATTAGCCGATTGCGCTACTGTTCGGGATATGAAAAATAGTTATGAAATGATGCACTAGTTTCGGGACAAGATTGGGCGTGCAAGTTCGTGACTTTTAGGCTTGTTTCGGCTATTTCACGAAATGAGACGGACTACTTCGTGATATCTTGAGATCACTTCGAGGTTAGTCTTTAATTTACTCGAGGAATAAAAAGAGGATATTACATGGCCGCACAGAGACACCAAATTTCTCTTCGAGTGTTGAAAAACATTTCACGAGTGAGCCCTCCTTTCGAACTGTGTTATGATGAATTTTAAGGTTACAAAATGCTGCACAAAGACATTTTGTCTTTGTTGAGTGTTACGTAGCAAAATTGCCTTCATGCGTTGCGTGACTTTCTCGAACGTTCTCTACGTTTTTGGATTATTCATGAATAATTAATTAGGGCATGTTTACGTTTCAGCATGAGTCAGCAGATTTGCATCAGTTACCGAAATCATAAAATATGTCGAAAGGCTACTACTATTCGCCCGTTTAGTATTTTCTAGAACCTTGTGTCGTTCCAAGAAGCGAGTTCTTTTGACGAACTAAGTTTTTTTCCCACGAGCTTGATTGCTGTGTTTAGTCAACAGAGTCAAGTGTGACGAAGGTCGATTTTCAAGTTCTGTGTTTACAAGTTGGCGGAGGCCGTAAGATATCTGAAGTTCAAGTGAGAGTTTGTTATTATTGGTAGAGGCTGTTTAGTTTTACTTAAGTTCAAGTCAAGTTTGTGTTGGCGGATGCTGTGTTGTAAAGCTCTGTAAAAGCTTTGTTCCTTTGGTATTAAACTTCCTTGTGTTAATCCGACATCCCTGCGTGTTGATAGTCAGTGAATAATTATCCTCAAAAAATTCGAACTCGTAACATTGAGTTTTAGCGAATTCCATGCTCAACGTAATGGACTCCTTACCCATGCCTTACATATCTTTAATCAGTAAATGAGACTGCTATGCTGTTTTGAAGCCTGATGTGACCAAGAAAAATAGAGAATTCTTTTTTCACTGTTTGTTTTATTAGACTTGTTATTCACCGCCAGTAACCTCATATTTGACTAGGGTCTAAACGTTAAGACCCAAGTCAAATTTAGAAGGATTTGTATGGAGCCATCAGAGCATAACTGGGCTAATATCTCGGGGACAATTTGTCCCGAAATATTAGTTTTTGGCAAGTAGGCCTCTTGGATGTTGCTCTTTTCAGGATATCCTGACAAATCCCATAATTTCACAAATTAACACCTTACTCTTACCATATTTCATCTATTACTATTCCTCCGCATTTACAATTAGTAAGTTCCACAACCACGACGCCCAAGTGTACGCTCCGTAGCGTCGTGTTATACACTTAATGTCAGATCCCAAGGGAAACAGTTAGTTTTGTTTTCCTGAAAGTCCTGATGTTTCCCTCGACTTCGTCTCGGGAAACATCAGGACTCTCGGGAAAACAAATTAAACTAACTAGTTTCCCGAGGGCCCTGACATTAAGTGTTTTGTTATATTTTTAGACTTTCACTTCAACAGGAACAAAAGAATAACCGGAGCGAACCAAAACAATCGACTCGGTACTTATAACAACACAAATTTAATTCTCAAAACCACTGAATAAATGATTTACAAAGTACTTTCCTTACATTATCTGCATCTTTTTCCTCCACTAGCTGCTGTTTCTATTCTGGGATAACTTTAAAAATCGTTGCTTTTTAGCTTGAGACTTCGTGTTTGTGTTGTTGTGCTCATTCACGAAAACGAAAACTGGCAGTGTTGGTTTTCCCCGCCTTCTGTCACGCCACTTTCCACCATGCTTTGATCACGTTGTTCTGTAATGTATCCCGAGCGGGCTACATTGCTTAATAGAGATCATTAGATTCAAGGACGAGGACAACTACGATCTGTACGAGATTTGACTTAAAGTTTTTTCGCGTATTCTCAAAATATAGACTCCTCCCCGGAAAGCTTCACTTTACCATTTTTCACTGGAAAAGTTAGCACTGTTACCTTAAGTGAAGGAAGTTACACCCTCTCTCGATCGCAAAATGATAAAACTTCTAACATTTGATAACTTGTTTCCGTCACTCGTAGTAGAGTGACGACGGCCATCACATTTCCCCGCCAAAATGACGCTGGTTAACGCACGTACACTCCTTAGTATTGAGAAAATCTCGTACTCGTAGTCGTACTTGTCTTAGAATCTACAGGTCTCTAATGTATCACAATCGGGATACATTTGATTTTAGTCAAGGCCACGTGATCAAGAATCAACCAATGGAAGTCCCTGTTTAGTTGAGTGAAAGTCTAGGAATATCACAATCCTACTTAAAACATACTTTGATCATTGTTATGTTCCCGTCTTTATTTGTCTGTTTCTTGGCAAACCCAGGATATAAAGGGATGATTAGTCTAGCAGATATTCTCTAAACAGCAGTTGTCATTCGCTGAGTGGTATTTTTGATATTCTTGCGATGTTTTTAGGCAGACGTTCACCTATTTTTTCTTCACAAAACGTGTGCAATTTCCCGCTATTTTCTCCAGCCTTACCAAAAGACACCTTGGTCCTCATCGCTTCTCGGTTTTCACCCCGTTTTGGGCGATAGCAGTCGGTGTGCGTCACGAGATTTGACCAATAAGAATGCGTCATTTGTAGAGCGATTTGTAGATTTATTGTAGAGTGAAATTTTCGCTTTATTTCAAGCTTGTGTAGGTAATTTCGACACAATACTGCTGTGGAAAGTGGAACACTTTATCTTGATAGCAGTTGCGTTAGTTTTAAATATTTTGCTTTCTTGAGCGTTTTTGACAAGTTTGAATTGCTCGGTCATGTGCAAGCCGCCAGGATGATTTGAGTGTTATTTTCGCCGTTCTTCTTGGATTCATTGCCGGTTACTGTCAGCGGTTTTATCGGATTATTTCGATCAACTTGTTACTTTAACCTTTCTTCTTTGTAAATTTTGGAGTCTCCCTTGTGTCTGCGCCCATGGCTTGTTGTAGGTATTTCTGGTACATATTCTACCCGGGTCTACCCCTGTTTTCTTGGAATGAAGAGATTGTCTCAGCCAAGTAGCACAAGTCCCGGGAAACGGGCTGAGAAACTTACCGAAGCGGAAGCCCACGTAAAGCGAGTAACGCAAATTCCAGGAAGAGTTTGTTTCATTTTGAACCAGAAAAGGTAAATAAGTTTGAATATTGTGATAACCTTTGGAAACAAAACATTTTTCACAACCCAGTGTCTTACGCGTGTCTTTAAATAATTTGCATGCAGTATGTGCTATGTGTATGCACATCCCTCATGTAAATTTACGCGAAGGAATAAATCTCAACCAAAACACAAAACCATTATCGAAGATCTAGACAACATAATACAGGATTTTAAAACTGTGAGGCTAGGTTTATAACAAAATCGATACACTGCGCTAACTTTAAAGAACGTACAGACAAGATTGTGGTTTATTTCTGCGGCCGTAGCTTCAGTGAAATTCCTATTGTTCTGTAGCTGTTTGGGCGCTACTTTTGCCTATAGAAGATTTATTTGCTTACAAGGATTACAAACAGTCACTATTTGCAAAATAATATAAAATTGTCGTTGAAAATAAAATTGTTACGAGAGAAGATGCAAGATTTCTCACCTTGCTCTTTGTTAGTGCTCCCCCTCCTTGCCGGCCCGGTTAATAAAGTCCATCAAACGTTACTATTAAATGGACAAATTTTTTATTTAAGCAAATCCAGGTATGAGCTACAGGTCTCTTTCACTCTTGTGAGATAGAAATATACATATAAGCACAGCACTAAACAGTACCTAAAATCTTCTGAGAAGCAGGAAATCGCCGCTTAAAATCGGCTAAAATCGCACCTTCGATCGTCTCCGAATCGCGATCAACTTATTGAAATTACCTTATGAAGCCAATGACAAGCATCTAAGGCCAGTGTGAGATCTTGAAAATTCTCCAAATCGCTCTCCTCGGTAATGTTTTTCAGAAAAGGAAGGAGCGTTTTATCCCGGATTTTGATTTCTCTCTCTCACGAGATGCGAACTCGACTGTGTCACGATTGAAATGAGGCACATAAACAGTTTTACCCATGAACCTTTGTGGGTCCTGACGCACACCGCCTGGGGCGATAGCCTTTTCTAATTTAACTGGGTATCACATGTCGCAAAAACGGTAGCAGGTCTAGTTTAAAGAATTAGCCGGGGCTCTTGAGCCAATCAGACACGAAAAACATATTTGAATGAATAATTATTACATCTACTGATGAACTGCACCTTGAAATGAGTTATGTCCTTCAAGTGGCTACCGAAAAGTCTGACAAAACAAAAAATGTGGCCGGACACAATCAAGGACGTACGCACATGGTAGACGTGGGATTCGCAAGTAGACTGAATACTACCATGTATTCAATACAATAATGCTATTTCGTTTGTGCGAAAGGAAGATCCGCAACTGAGTAAATTACCTGTGAGTTTAAGGCTTTCACTTGTCAGGTTATAACAGCCTCTCAGGTTAAGATGTCCCAAAAATGGACGACATTTGTGGATCAAGCTGGCTGCAACTTTATTTGTTGCACTGTAAACAACATCAAAACAGTTAAAAGAATTTAACAAATCAAGTGCATAATTACTGTTTAGTGTTAGACAAAAGGAGAAGCAAAATAGGCATATTCACTTTAAAAAACGTTTTTGACAATAATCTTTTATTACCTGTGTTTTACTTTGGAAAAGTCAACCTAAAAAATAAAAGAAGAAGCATTATTACAATATTCAAATAAGTTCACATTGTTGTTGAATATATATAGTTACCTTGCTCCACAGAATATTCGCCTGAATCAACACTTTCCAGCTCCTACAGACACGCGCACATCGTCCCAAGTCACCTACACTCACGTGACTGAAAATCTGAAGTTTGATGCAAAATGAGCGTTATAACATGAAACAATGAACTTAGGTACTAAACACTAGATGCTCTTTTCACGATTACTTTCACTTTCAACAGTGAGCTCTCTCACTGGACTCTGTAAAAAGTAGTATTGTACTGCCCAACGTACTATGTAACCTGCCTCATTTATCAACACAATTTGCAGGAAAAGATCGTCTCACATAACGTAGTTTACAACGCCGACAAAGACAACAGCTTTGCTGGTAGCATCCCTAACGCTACTTGACCTGACCACCACATTATACTTACCCGCAAAGCGACATGTCTCGGAAGAGATGAAATTTCATCTTTGCCATCAGCTCTGACGCGGAAGAAGCCTTCATATCCTGTGTCTATAATCTCTCCTCTTTCAATCCTCTGCATGATAGATATGGAACTATTTTAAAGTTGTTCTGTTCATTTCTCAGCATAGAAATTGAGATAATCACTCATGATTCAACAAAGGCCGCCTTCACTTGAAGGTTTGAAATAATTTCCATGTTTAACAAAAACTTAAATCAGTCAAGAAGACTATCGATTATTAAAGGAATTGAGAAGTAGAGAGTGATAGTGACTATCAAGCATTTTTTTTAAATTGTTGGGTCTATGCAGCTGTAGCCAACTCTCTCACCTCAAAGTATTCCTTGGTCTTTCTTGCGTCCACAGCAACACTATGCCAAGCATCAAACACCACACGTAAGAGTGAGATTGCCAACACTCTCCGGATCCTTGTTGATATCACTGAAAAAAAAAAAGGTATCCTAGCTTTTACGGCAGTTGGTTCAATAATCTTCAAAATCGCAACAGCGAGCAAACAACCCACCATTCTGCCTTTCCTTTCTCTCTGAGACCCATTCCTATGTGCATCATCATATCATATTTAGTAAAGGATCAAAAACATGAAGTGCCGATACAGTGACTTCAAAGCCTGCATAACAGGCGCTTTATGAGCCAAGCGAGGCAAACCCGGAATTTTGCGACAAGCGCAAGACAAGGGGAGAAGAAAAAAATAAAGCCGCGCTCGTCTCGAGCATCGCGCAAAATGCCGCGTTCGCCTCGTTGGCTCATAAAGCGCCTGTTATGCAGCAGGCTAGTTCATAGACGTTGTTTCTTTCTTTTTTCCGAGTAATTTAGCGAGTAAGTAATTTGGCCACCGTACTCGACGTACTCGACGATCTCTAAAGAGAAAACAGAAGGTTTGCGAACAGGCTAGTAACATTTCGTTATAAACAATAATTGTATTTATTCTTCACAGTTAGCTTGCAATCAACCACTCATATTCATGGCCGGTATAACCTCACTTACTCTAAAATTAGTTACAATAACAACAGACCTGATTGTGTCAGTGGGTAAAGGCCTCCGCGTAACCTGTGTGGCAACTACAAAAAGGGTAGAGGGAATCAATAGTTCCACCTGAATTAATGCCAAGCAATCCCTCGCCTGCGGACACAGACATTTCCGGTCGTCGCTTCTCTTTTTGGGTGGAGGGAAGCAAAGATCGGAAATACGTCTGGGTCTACAGGCTAAGCCGATCCCCTAACGACGCACAAAAGCCAAACAACAAATCAAAGTACAGCACTATCAATTTCATCTACATTTTGGCAAATTAATTGAGCTAAATATCTAGAAAATACTGAGGTTGCAATAAGGATACAATCCATGACTGAAGATGGATTCTCTGCACTCTCTGCCTGTGCCACAATCGAGCATTTTCCATCTTTTTGGCCAACAAAGCTTTCTTTCTTTTCATGTGTTTATGATAACGCATCCAGGCACTGTTCATAGAGGAACAACAATAACAATATTCGACAAAAAAAAACCATGCATGGCGGTTACAAAGACAATCGTCGTAGGGTTTTAACATTTAACACCCTAACAGCGCAAAAACGTCAAAACATGTGTGGAGACGTACGAGTCACTTTTTCCGCGCGGTACTGGGTCCAAGTTTATTTGGCCGAGTTAATCTCGGACCGAGTTAGCTCGGTTGAGTGGGGCGCAAAGTGGGGCGTGGGCCCGAGTTTGTTCAGGACATACTTTGGTCGGGAGACGTTCGGCAA